ATCATAATGGTAAGTCCTATTTTTGTAAATATTGTAATCATGGATTTAGAAATGAAGAATTATTAAATAAACATTATGATAGTGGATGCATGGAAGTTGAAGGACAACAGATAGTAATGCCTAAGCCTTATGAGAAAGTGAGTTTTAAGCATCACTTCAAAAAGTTAAGATGTCCTTTTGTTGTATATGCTGATTTTGAATGTTTGACAGAGGAACTGAAAAAATCTGATGAAGATGAAGATAAAAACACTTTTTCTTATCAAGAGCATAAACCATGTGGTTTTATGCTTAATATGGTTAATGCTGTTGATAATACAAATTATGAATTTATGTATCGTGGTAAAGATGCTGTTGATGTGTTTTGTCAAAAACTTAATGAGATTAGGGCAGAAGTAAAAATAAAATGGGAGAAAACAAAAAAATAGATATGACTGATGAAGACAAAGAAGATTTTAAAAATGCTAAAAACTGCTTTATTTGTGGAGATAAGTTTAGAATGAACTATAAGAATGCCAAGGAAGCAGAGAAATATAGAAAAGTTAGAGACCATTGTCATTTTACAGGTAAGTATAGAGGTTGTGCTCATAATGTTTGCAATCTTAATTTTTGTAATAGATATTTTAAAATTCCTGTATTCTTTCATAACATGAAAAATTATGACGGTCATTTAATTATTCAAAATGCGGATAAATTAAGTAACAACAATAAAATAGGTGTCATCGCTCAGAACAGTGAAAAATTTATTAATATCAGTTTTGAAAGTTTGAGTGTTAAAGACACTTTTGGGTTTTTAACTGCTTCATTAGATAAGTTAGTTTCAATGAGTAAGTATGATAATACAGATGAAGAAGATAAAAGTAAATGGTTATTGTGTGAAAACTGGAAAGATAATTTTAGGTTCAGTAGTAAAAATGATCTGATTAAGAGTGAGAAATGTCTAGATTTGTTGATTGATGAAGGTGATTATCCTTATGACTACATGAATTCAAGTGATAAATTTGATGATGAGCAATTACCGAGTAAGGATGATTTTTATAGTCAGTTGAGTGAAGAAGGTATAAGTGTTAACGACTATGAAAGGGCAAAAATTATATGGAAGCATTTCGACATTAAGAATATGGGTGAATACCATGATTTATATTTGAAAACTGATGTATTATTATTGACTGACATTTTCGAAAATTTTAGAGATGTGTGTATGAAATATTATGGATTGGACCCTGCTTATTATTATACATTGCCTAACTTAGACTTTGCTTTTGATGCTATGCTTAAAATGACTGGTGTAGAGATTGATTTAATATATGACCAAGACATGTATGAAATGATAGAAGCAGGACTTAGAGGAGGGATGTGTATGGTTTCTACTAAAAAAGTTGAAGCAAACAATAAATACATGGGTGAAGAATATGATAAAAATAAAGAAAGTAGTTATATTAACTATTTTGATGCTAATAATTTGTACGGGTTAAGCATGATACAAAAACTGCCATATAAAAATCTAAAATGGGATGATACATTAAAAGAAGAAGACATTATTAACTACAAAAATAATAATATTGGATATATTCTAGAAGTGGATTTAGAATATCCTAAAGAATTACACGGTTTACACAATGACTATCCAATGGCACCTGAGGTTATGAATGTTAAAGCCAACATGCTGTCAGATAAACAAATTGAAATTTATGAATTTTTCAATCATAAAAAGCATACGGATGAGAAAACAAATAAATTAGTATTGAATTTAAATGGTAATCCATATAATAACCTTACAATTTTATTTGAAGCAAGGGTTAAAACTTAAGAAAATTCATAGAGCAACTAAATTTGAACAAAAAGAAGTTTTAAAACCGTACATTCAGTTTAACACTGAGAAGGGGAAGAATGCTAGAAATGATTTTGAGAAAGATGTTTATAAATTGATGAAGAATGCCATATTTGGAAAAACAATGGAGGATAAGCGAAAACATTTAGACTTTGAAGTTGTGAGTGATGAAACTAGATATATGAAGTGTGTAAGTAATCCTAACTTCAAACATAGTCATATCATTAATGAAAATTTGGTTGGAGTTGAAAAGCAAAAAACAAAGTTGAAACTAGACAAACCTATATTTATTGGGATGAGTATTTTAGATTTGAGTAAGCAGCACATGTATAAATTTTATTATGACGTTATGAAGCCTAAATATGGAGATAATATTAAAATGGTATATACTGATACTGACAGTCTTGTATTTCATACTAAAACCAATGACATTTATGAAGACCTGAATACAATTAAAAAAGAAATATATTTTTCAGATTATCCTAAGGAACATACATGTTATGATGAGAAGAACAAGAAAGTATTAGGTACGTTTAAGGATGAATTAAAAAGTAAAATAATAACAGGGTTTATAGCCCTTCGTCCTAAATGCTATGCTTACTCAGTTTATGGTGATGATAAAAAATATAAGAAATGTAAGGGCATAGCAAAAGGCACAGTAAGACGTCAAATGAAATATGAAGAGTTTGAGACGGTTTTAAAAACTAATGAGGTTATACATAAGTCATTTAATAGTATTAGAAGTAAAAACCACAGAATTTTTAGTATAACAGCTAAAAAAATTGCTCTTAGTAGTTATGAAAAAATATTGGATAGATAGTATAAACTCACTTGCTTACGGCCATTATAAAATAAATTATTTGAAAACGACTTAAAGAAATATTGACTTAATATATTAAGAGGAAAAATGACACTGTTTAATTATAGTAAGTGTGAATGTTGTAATAATAAAAATAATGATATTTATTTTACATTGTATAACTTATTACCTGCTAATCTGTGTAATATAATAAGTGAATATGATGTATATTGTAATCAATGCTGTATAACAAGAGACCTTGAAAAGTTGTTTGTCGAAGAATATAAGGATATGGGATATACAAAGTTTCAATTAAAATTGAAATTCTTTATGAGATATCAAAAACAATTTCCTGTATGTTTTTACCATAAAATTGATCGAGAGTCATTTGAAAAAGAAATTGATGAGTTTTTTAATAATAAAGATTTGATTAAAAGGTTTGGAGGATAACTAAGCATTAAACCATATAAATCATTTGCTAAAGAAATTCGTGATTTGTTTGAAGAGATTGATTGGGATTTATTAAGCAAAGATAAAATAAGCAAGGTCTTGAATGAATTTAGAATAACTAAATATCATGTATGGTATTACTACAACACTAAATATAAAGTATGTCTATTGCTGTATTTATTCTTTTGGGAATATATTTATTCAATAATAGGAAAAGACAATATCAAATATATAGACATTGGTGATATTGATAAATATGTAGAGTACATATTTGAAGACATATTGCCTGACTGTTCTCTTAAATCCTTAATTCTTAATTGAAATATAATAATAACACGTAAATTATTATTTGTTATAATTATACTAAACTTATGGTTTCTTTCTTTATTTTTCTTAATGCCTTAAAAATGACTTAAAGAAATAGTGCCTTAATATAATAAGAGGAAAATGAACGGTGATGAAATCAATAATTATATCAAAAAAAAATGCCATGATTGTTGTCACTTCAAAAAAGAAAATATGGAATTGTATAAATTAAATTTACCTAATGGAATAATAAATAATATTATTTATTATGCTTTGGGTAAAGAAGATTTATGTAAAATTTGTAGAAATTGGAGGTTTCATCAACAAATAATTGAAAATCATTTAGATATTAAAATGGTTAATGAAAGAAATGTAGAAGATGACATCTTAATATTTCTAACTGTGTATAAAATACCACCTTATAGTTATGTTAGAGCATTTCTGAAAATCAGTGAGAAAAAGTATGACATGATAGACCGCATATTATGGATGTTGGTTTATCGTCAAAAGGAAGGAGAAGATGTTAAAGAAAATATCAAATTATTTATTGAAAGTAAAAAGCTTAATGTTAACAACTCAGTTAGATATATTAATACTATTTTTAAAGTGATGTATGAAAGAAGTAAGATGTATCAATTAAATAGTTATCCTGAACTGAAAATATAATCATACTATAATAATAACATGTAAAATATTATATGTTATAATTGTAATATATTTATCGTTTGTAAAGATTGAATTATTATATTTTCCTAATTTGCTTATCTCTTTCAAAGTGCGTTGTTTAGACTTGGTATGCTTCTTCAGTTTTTTCGTGCTTTGGCTGTTTGTTTTTATTTTGTTTGACACTCTTATGATATTTTTTGTTGGTATGTTGCTTTGTTTTTTGTTGATTTGTGTTTTTGAGTTTGGGTTCTTTGATGATTTAGAGTGTTGCTGTTTTGTTGGTATGCTTGTTTGAATTATTTAATGTTGTATGCTGTGATTAAATATTTTTGTTGTTGGTTGTGATTATTCATTTTGTTTGCTTGTTGTTCTGGATTTTGTTTTCTGTTTGTTGTGTTGCTGTTGGAGAAAAAATAGTAGAAAGAATAATTCTTTGAATTCTCCTTTTACTATTTCCCCCCCCCCCCCATATGGTATGGGTCCCCCAGACCCCCCACCCCGACCCCTGAACTCGCACCCCGACACCCCGGCACCCCCACCCGCAGGACAAGCCAACCCGCAACCAACCATAAACCAACCCTAAACGAACCCTAAATACACCCAAAACCAAACCCAAAACCGTAGACCTCTAAACGTAAACCAACCCTAAATCAACATAAACCAACCCTAAACTAACCCTAAGCCGATCCTAAACTAACCCCAAATGCACCCTAAACCAATCCCTAAACAATAAACCCTAAACCTAAGCCAACCCTAAACCACCACAACCCAACCACAGGACCACAACCACAGGGGGGGGAACCTGTCTGGTACCATATATATATATATATATGTATCATGTAGTATAGATGTGTTTTGAGGCCGGTTTCAAGGGAAACCAACAGGAACACCGAAGCCATGTCCACATTTCGCAATTCGGACATCCCGGCGGGGGCAAAAACGGGCCGCGAGGCGACCACCCTCCCACGTTCTGCCTGGCCTGCCTCGGCGGCGTGAAGCAAACAGGCGCCCGCCTGAGGGCAGAAATCCCCAGCCCCGGAACTGGATCTTGTGAACCTATGTGGTGTCTCAACATGGGGAACCAGGCCCCTTTTGGTTGTTGCATGGGAAACCCTGATTACATCTTGTTCCTGTTTTGAGAAACCCTGATTTTGAGGGAATCAACTGTACCTTCGTTTGGGCAAGCAAGGGTCAGGGAGCAATTTGTGAACAGGCTTGCAATGAACCCTCCTCCGATCTATTCTTCTTCGAGTGGGTGTTTCATGGTGATGTGTTGAGGGGAGCTATGGGTTTACCCGGCGCCCCCCCTCTCCACCCGCACTGGTGATTTCTGGTTTCCGTTGGTAAAAAGGGGCTCGGAAGAAAACAAACAACACGCGCGCACTATGATTCTCCAGTGAACCCCTGAAATTGAGGTTTGTGGATACACATGTCTCGAGGCTTTGTTTCGAAGGATCCAACCCATTCAAAACCACATCAATATCATCTTTTGTGCGGATATGAATTCTTAAGGTAAATTAACGCCGCCTTACTGGAACCAGGGATCCCCGTTCCCTGGTTGGTCCAAAGGACTCGTCGGGCTGCCGCTTGAGGTCGCTGCCCCGAGTGCGGTGGGGGTCTTCAGGCGGAGGACATGGAGCGGCTGATGGGCGCCCTGCGGCACCGCCGGGGACCCGGGTGTCTGTCGATGGAAACACGGGCTTTGGTTTCTGTTGTTGGTTTCCCTTTAAAACGGTGAAAAGGGCACCCTGATTAAACATATGTATATATATATATATATCGGTGAGGGTTCGCAAGAGTTTTGTAGTAAGCCACAATTACTTGCTTTTCGATCAGTCATCGGTTACAGCTCCACTGCCTTATACCGGGTCATGTCGCTGAGACATTGGAATGCTTTCAGCAAACCTTGCATGTGGATTTGCCCATTTTGGCGTCTATTGGTGGCTGAGACGTGCTTGTTAATCTGGGATCTCGCTGGTCTGGCGGGACCAAACGCCGATAGAAGAGAGCAGCTCCAGCTTAGCCCTGTCAGATGCCACCTACACGGGCGAGCTTGGGGATATCACCTGAGCATATATTTTTATACATACGTGCGGCCGCATTTGGTCAAAGGAATGGGGTAGCTGAATTGGCATTAGCAAATTTTCTCAGAATCCGATTGAGACAACAACTAGTGACCGTGGCTTGTGTGGTGGGGCTGCATCGATTCTTTGGATGGGTGTGGCTAGACCCTTTGCTCAAGCCACTACGCGCAGTAGGAGTCGGAGTCGGCTGGAAGTCTGAAGACTCCAGATATGTTGGACTTCAAGTTGGCAGTGAATGAGAACAACAAGGCCACAGAGTTGCCACTTCTGCGGGTGTGTGGGACTGTACTTCAAAATTGCAAGTGATGGACTGGCATGGGCCTTCCGCCGCCGCATGCGCGGCAAACGGCCCCCGTGCTGGAGACGTGCCGATGCCATCATGTGGCGCCTCGGGCATCCATGATGCCCCCCTGTTTGGAGGCTGCCCCGCCTTCTGGGCTGAGGGCGTCTTCGTTAACTAATTCGAAAATCCACACATGCGAGCCTTTTGGGCGTCAACCATTTCTTTCTTCTTGGCGTTCCTGGGCTGGTTTGCCTTGGCACCTTTGGGGCTGGAGGTATCCAGCAGCATGGGCCAATGCGAGAATCAACTGTACCCAACAGCAGAGTACCCCAAGAGAGTGGCCTACTTGAAGTACAAGAACCTCAAGAGTGGCCTTGAGTACTGCCAATACGGCAAGGTTCTGAACTCCGATGATGTGCCCACCGACTGCCAGCCCGTGCCTGCTGACAAACTGCTGACTGGAACTGATGAGGAAAAACTTCAGTACCGACCTGCAGTGCTGGCCAAATGCGTTTGCACCACGGGGACTGCATGCAACGGCATGATTGCCAATGCCGGAGTCGCAGCTGTGGCCTCAACAATCTTCGTTCGCATCGCCCTTGGCACCTTGCTGGAACGACTTGGCCCAGTGAATGTTCAAAGCGGCCTGCTAACCTTTGGAGCTTTCTGGGTTGCAATGGCTGCTGCCATTTCAGCACCATGGAACTACACCTTGATCCGCTTTTTCATCGGGTGTGCCGGTGCCACATTTGTGACCAATCAGTTCTGGTGCTCAATGGTTGCCATACCATGATTCTAATATATTTGCCAGCCTGCAGGAAGCAGACGATAACCCAATCTTTGCCAGTGGAGTCGCCTGACTCCACATCTGTGCGGTGGTTGTCACGTGTGGACACCATCAAAGGAAGGTCGATTATATCAGTTCTGGTGCTCCCTTATGTTCGCTCCCAATGTTGTTGGCACTGCCAATGCCACTGCAGCCGGTTGGGGCAACCTCGGCGGCGGTGTGACCCAAATCTTCATGATTTCAGTCCTCTTCAACCCCATGGTGGACTCTGGCGTGGCACCAGACATCGCTTGGCGAGTGGCCATGTTCGTTCCTGCGGTCCTCTTTATTCTTTGCGCCGTCAGCATGAAGCTCTTGTGCTGGGACACCCCCACAGCCAAGCGCTTCGATGTAGCAGTGACTGGCAAGACACAGAAGCCGTCTTTGTGGGACTACGTTGAGGTCCTGAAGGATGTCCGAGTCTTGGTGATGATCATGCAATATTCAGCATGCTTCGGCACTGAACTTGCGATGAACAATCAGTTGGCGACCCACTTTAGGACCTACTTCCAAATGGCTGCGGCAGATGCTTCGGCCTTGGCGGGAGCATTCGGCTTGATGAACCTTTTTGCCAGATCCCTGGGAGGTATCACCAGTGACGTCCTTTTCAAGTATATCGGCTTCCGTGGCCGCATTTGGGCGCAGTTCTTGTCCCTTTTCTTTGAGGCCATCTTCCTGTTCTGCTTTGGTTTGGTGGACAATTCGCAGCCATGGTATGTTGCTTTGGCAGTGCTGGTCTTCTTCTCCCTTTTTGTGCAGATGGCAGAAGGGACCAGCTACGGAATTGTTCCGTTCAGCGACTTGGTGAGTGGCGCCCTGAGATGCAGGCATCTCTTCGCGGTCGCGGGCCACCGCGGTGGAGCGAACGACTCACATGCACGACCAGTGCGAGGGCGCGCTGGGATTTCAGGCAGATGGCTCAGCGTGCTTACGCTGGCTGCCAAAATTCAACCATCACATGCAGCTACAATGCCCATGGTTACAGGGGCTTACCTCTGGCCATGGATCCTTGTGGTACTGGTGCTAGTCGGTGGTCTTTGTGGATGCTTCCACGCATGTCACAGCTTTAAGATGCAGGACCACCATGCATCAACACACACCAATCCCAGATGCAAGAGGAAAAAGCAAAAACCTAAACATGCACGCCAGCGGCAGTCCAGATACCTCTGGACACCACCTAATTACATGCAACGCACAGACGCCTTCAGGTACGCACGCTTCACGCCCGCACGGCTTGCGGGATGCACGCGACTGCCTGCAGCACGCACAAAGCAACGCATGCTCGCACGGCGGTTCCGGCAAAGTCGATTGCATTTTTGGCTGCAGGGACACTCCCAGCCGGTGCAACAACCACGACACGACAGTGACACCGAACAAGGTGACACATGCACACAACGAGCGCAATGCCTGTCCGAAGGAAAGGTGTCGCGAACAGACAACACGCAACAGCAGGGCTACATGGCAAGTGTCGCCCGTGCGTTTCACGCTCAGCAAAGCCTCCGGCTGTCGGCTGGATGGTCTGAATGCTCAGGCGGCGCAGGCGGCTCGCGCGCTACCAGCCGAAAACGACGGCAGCAGCAACAGCAACAGCATGGGTTGACCACGCACAGCCAACCCAGCTTGGCCAGCGTGTTGGGTCAGGCCATAGCAGCCTGGCAATCGCAACTTGGAGCTCAGCAGCAGCAACAGCAGCTGCAGCAGCAGCAACAGCGGCCGCCACAACGACAGCAACACAGAACAGTGAGCATGGACGGAGTCCACGACCCGGGGGGGCCACCACCTAAGAGACTACGGCCAAATGAGGGACAGTCTGACAGATACCTTCTGGCCACGCTCGAGAAAATCCTGCAGCAGTGCCGCCAGGAGGATGCGCCCGACACGGTGGTAGCTCAAAGAGTGACGCAGGCGCTTCACACCGAGCGCACGGGCCCCACGACCTCTCACGTGGGAACGCAAGGACAGGTGGCTGGCCAACCCAAACATGCGCCACCGCAGCAACCACAGCGGTTAAGCTACTACGGCTCTATAGCTCACCACGGCAACTATGACCCCACAGCTTACCGCAGCTACTACGACTCCACAACTCACCACAGCTACTACGACCGGACTGCCTGGCAGACCGCACAGCACACACAGCAGTGGACGCAGGAACCAGACGAGACCTGGGAACACTGGGGGGACAACGCAAAGCAGTGGCCGACCGGGAAAAACGCCACACTGACGGGACTACGATCTCAGGAATGGACGGCGACGCCCGACCTCGTGTCCAGCCAGACGTTCATGCAGGCCCTAAAGACCGGCAAAGAGGTCAAGGGCAACATGATAGCCCTTTACACCATGGACCAGGCGGAGGACGTGCGCACAACTGCCACGGCTTACAACTTCAAGGGCAGCGTGACGCTACTCTTGCTCGACGAAGCCAAGAAAGCTAAGGGAACTTACCACACCAGGGTCACCGGCCAGTTCGGGAAAAACGAGCAAAAGCTGGTCGACGTCGGACTCCTCCACACCTCCTCAGACGGCACTGATGCTGACCGCGGACCCTGGGCCCACAAGGCCCTCGCGGCCCAGGTCACCACGCTGAAGCAAATCAGCCGCAGCATGGTCAGGATCACTGCGCCATGGCGCTACCGCCAAGCGTACAGTGACAATACCGACGGCGACACGCCGCAAACCGTGGTGGCAGCGTTGGCTCACCACCAGCAGTTGCCAGTGCACACTCTAACAGGAGGGCAATGGTGGGCTGAAACCGTGCGGGGTAGACAATTCCTTCACGGCACAATACGCCTTCCTGACGCCACCGCCGACAAGCTATGCAGCAGCAGCGGCACGCACGGGATCTTCGCGTGTAAGATAGGCGGTCCGCGAAGCACGACCAAGGTACTATGGACTAAGCGACAGCTCGATGAGGATGACGAGACCTACCTGCGACGGAACCTCAATGCGGTGAGCTCCAGGCGACAGGGTCTCCTCATGCGCAAAGGAGGAGGAGCTGAGCTTGGTTATTTGGCTAAGAACGCCGAAGAAGTAAGCGCCCAGGAGGTCAAGCGAAGCCACTGGGTGGTCTCCGGCGTGCCCCGCAAATGGGACCAAGAAGAACTGCTTCAGTTCCTTCAGCTTCAAGGCTGGGCGGACGCGGAAGTACTCACACGAAAGAAAGCCCAATGGTGGTTGAGAGCCACTCCGCCAAAGCAGCAGCAGCAACAGCAGCAGCAGCAACTGGCCTGGGAATACACAGTGGAACTGGATGGAGATGCAGACAAATCCTTCCAGCTTCACGTGCACATGGCGCCGCACAAGGTGCCGCAGCCCAGTGACTACTGGGTTCTACAAGGCCCCAAAAAGGTCTGGAGCGACGATGTCAAAGACCAGGACAAGGCAAAGCTTGGTAATGCAGCGCACAAGAGAATCCACCAAACTGCAGCCCCAGCAAGGGAGAAGGAAGTCACCCCCACGCAAATGGACTGCACC